TATGACTACATTCAAAAATCAAGAAAACATCACGGTACATTTCTAAGTGAAAAAGGCAGAAAACAATATATAGTACTACAAAAATTTGATTTTTAAAAACTGGAACAATGTAATTCAATACATGTTTAACAGTTATCTCTGGGTTTTGAGATTTCATGTCTTTTTATTTCTATTTTAAATGTCTATTTTACCTATTTTCTCAAGTTCACATATTTCCTTGGTGTAAGAACAACTGTTCTTTACAGGAAGGCAGATGGAGGCAAGAAGTTTAGATAACAGGAGAAAACTCAGCCATGAGCACAAATCTTCCAGGTCACAATGCAGCAAAGGCTCTGGTTCAGCTCAAGAACAAGACTGGACCCACGGCAAATGGTATCCGGAAACCTCGTTCAGCACCCACCTCTTTCCTCGCACGCTGGCCCCAGGTACTGACTCTTGTTGTGGAACATCCTTTCCGACTGTGGTACGTTTCCTCATGCCATTGCCTCTTTGGATTGCCTGCCAAGGGCTGCACCGTCCAGTGTCCGGTGACCCATTCCCACATCCAAGTCTCCTAGGCCGCTCTATGCTTCCTTCCCCAATGCCTCCTGCTGAGGTTTGACTTTGATTTACCCTGAATGTGGGGCCTCCAGGGCCTGCTTCTCCCAGCACACAATGCCTCAGTGCCTTATCTCTCCTACATAGCTGTTCTACCCCCTCCTGCAGCCCTAGTACCTGCTCCTTAAAAGAGGCACGAGCCACGAAGGAGCATGTTACATCTCTCTTCCTTTTCTCTTCTTTCTGAGGTGGGTCGAAGGGGACATATGTGGCAGGGGTGTGGGCATCTGGCGTCCTGCGTTCATGCAGCTGCATCTTCCACTGTTGCTGCTCCATTCCTGAAGGAGGCCAGGGACAATGTCAGGAAGAGATGGGGTGTGCTGAGCAAAAACATGTCCTAGATTGTCCCCGGAGCAGGCAGGGTAGGCAGCTAGGCAGCTCTGGACACTGTGCCAAGAACCTCCAACCATCTTGGGGAGTGGAGTCCCCTAGAGAGTTTACCGTGTCTCAGATATCACATGTCACACTGTAACATCTGGGAAAGAGTTTGTGTCAGTTGCCTAGTCCCATATGCTACCGAGCAGAGATGAAGGCCAGAGCACGTAGGGAGGACCTGGTCACTTTTATAGGGTTAGGAAGATAGGGGAGTTCAATGTGGTCCCTTGGTCAGGCCTAGAACCTGCGTCTACCATTCTCTAGGGTCAGAAAGGCTGCTACAAGGGGAAGGCAATCCCACAGGAGGATTTGCTCACTGACTTCTCCCTTTCCAGATGTCTAGATGAAAATAACTTTGGGGCCCCCATGAGATAGCATGGAATGGTATTTCTCCCTATGTACTCTCTCAGAATGCTCCAAGAAAGCTGAGCGGTCCATGTCAGAAGATTCTCAGCACAGCCAAGTATGCCTAAAATATTATAATCTTTGTCTTACCGCAAAGAGGCAGTCTCTGCTTCCTGAGCAAGTACAGACCTGCTTCCTCTGTGGAGAAGGTCTTGTTGCCCAGAAGCCTCTAGTGGCCTCATCATTTTCTTTGTATCCCCTCAAAGAAAAAAATCTGGGTGAATCTTTAGGTAAGGGATTGCCTTTTCAAGACATCTAAAATACCTCCACACTAAAATAATATAATTCTGTCCAAAGAGTAACTTCTGATTTACTTCTGTCTTCTAAGTAGTCACAGATCTGTCACTGAGTTCTATACTTTATGACTAACCAAGTTTAGGTTTTTCTGAACATTTGTTCTTGGGGAAGGGTGCAATAATAGGCTTTCCAGATATGGCGTACAGTGGTTACAGTGGGAAGGCTAGAGATGGATATTCACTCCAAAGATGGTCTTAATATCTTGATTACCTTGCTCTAGTGATTGTACTAGAGGAGAACATCCCGAGGCAATATCTCAGAGCATCATTCTAAGGACACACACACCAGGAGGGAAAATGGTCAAATATCTTCTGGTATTCTGCTCACTGTTGTTCTTCATCTTGATACATTGGGCGTTACCTGCTGGTGAGTAATTTTTTTTTTAAGATTTTATTTATTTGAGAAAGAGAGAGAGCACACAGCCAGGGGGAGGGGCAGAGGGAGAAGCAGACTCTCCGATGAACAGAGAGCCAGAAGCGGGGATCGATCCCAGCACCCCAGGATCATGACCTGAGCCTGAAGGCAGACACTTAACCAACTGAGCCACCCAGGCGCCCCTCTGGTGAGTGATTTGACTGGTTCTGGCAGTTATGTAGGGTTGTGAGTTCTGACATTATAATCTGAAAGAATGCTTTGGAATTATTTTCAATTTATTTATGTAAGTCTGTCACTTCACTATATATGTATCTGTATCTATAGAGAGAAAGGCAAGGAGTGTGGTCCCAAGAAAAGGCTCCCAGCCAATGTGCAAGGGCTTTCCCATCTATTAATGCAGATGGTGAAACTTAACTCATGGGGACTCAGTGAGGTATGATGTTACAGTGGTGGGCAACATGCCCACAGCACAGCACATCTCAGGCTCAAAGCTTTTGAAAATGCTTTGCCATGAATTTAAGTGGGTGTTACCTTTTTTGCCCTCTTTTAGAGAAGAGCCCTGTAGGGAGTTTTAAAAAGACCTAGGCTCAAGGACTGAAGAGCTTGCATTTTCACCTATCTACCATGAATTCCTGGGCATTAATAAGTGTCCTTCCCCTCTCTGTAAAATATGGGGATTGGGCCAATGGTCTCTTTAAAGTTCTAGCATCTCTTCATGTCTTTTATGTATTGGCTGCCAGTTCTGAATCATCTCAAGCCCAGGCTAACTCCTATTAATCAAAAACTTGTTTGGTACACTGGACTGGCAACATTTACGAGAGCAGTGATTGCTTGCTCATTATTTATCAGGAGTAGAAGACCTTTTTGAAGGGAAAAAATGAATGCATGTATAAATAAAAGAATGTGCTCATATTGCAAGCTTCCTTGGTAATAAATTAGAATTCCTTAATTCTGCCAACAGGTTAAGCTAGGATTCACCACATATTGTACTCTGCAACTATTCTCATGTATGTCTTAGTTTCAGGCCGTCGACAGTGGTGGCCACCACATGGAACTGTTAAGGTAATCTTCCACCCTATTTCTCAGGACAGACATTCTAATCTGAGTTTTCTCTGGGATCGCTGTGTTAGAACCTTACTTCGGCAATGCCATCTGTGTGGCATTCTCCAGAGTCCACTCACAGGAACGTGGCAGGTACACTACTGGTACAAGAGCCCTGAGTAGAGCGATCCAAACAGGGAAACACGCCAAGACTTGGTCATCTGACAACCGGAGAACGCTCCCTCCCTGGTGCCTAGGAAATGTTTATGAACCCTGACCATTGCCTGGGGAATTGAGAAAGTGGAGGGATTCACCAGGGGACACACGTACAGGATGATAGGGCCTGGCCACTGTGGTAGTGTTGGCTAAGGAAAGAAGGAGAAGAGTTTCTAAGCTCAGATATGATCCCTCTTTCTCTAAATACTCAGCCAAAACTCTCTACCCCCTTGTATCAGAGGCATGTTACCAGTCTCTCTATGGCTCTCCTAGAGCCCCTGAGGCCACCTCCTCAAGTTCCAGCAACCCCGCGTCCCTGCTTCAAGCTGCCACTGACACCAGCACTGTGAGTGCACATGGCTTCTCCGCCCTGATGAGACGCGTCCCTTTTGTTTTTCCTGTTCCCCACAAAGTCAGGCCATTGTGCTAAATGCTTTCACATTTCACAACTTCAAGAAAAGAGTTGTCTTGGGGATTTTGAGAATGGATAAACTATGGTACATATTTTAAATCAAAGCATATGGGTTTCAGTGAAACAGCTTCTCCAGTTATGGGCTTTCAGGGTTTTTTTGCCCGGTTGGCACAGAACATCTCTAAGAATATTCCCATGCCTGATACTCTGGGAATAAAGGAGATTGAGAAAGAAGCTAAATTTCCCAAATACATCCTGTTTGTCCACTCTTCCCTTTCCCACCAGAGGGTAGCAGGCCTCTGTGCCCTGTGACTGTCAGGAGCTCCTCACAAGGAGGGCATCATGGTTGACAGATGGCGTAAACAGAAGTTCGGCCTCCACTGCTTTGTGGAGGGGCAGCTGTAAGCGCTTTGTGTGACTGTAATGGGATCCTGACTGTGTTTAGATTTTCCTAATCAGGTCCAGATGTGACCTACCTGTCTATGAGAGTGATTGTAATCGTATCATTCTTTTTGACTGAAATTTCAGGTGAAATGTCCATATAAGAAAGTAGACTTGAGTTGGTTCACTGGAACTGTGAACCCCTGCCCCGGTTTATATCAACCCATCTGTGGCACTAATTTTGTAACCTATGAAAACCCCTGCATCTTGTGTATTGAGAGCCTGTGAGTACTCTTTGCGGGGGTGGGAAGAAGAGAACAAAGATGAGTTTAGCCTACAGCAATGACCATGTACCTCTTCTACCAAGTACGTCAGCCTTGAAGCCAGGAATTTGCTCCAGTTCGCCCAGATACTAATCAGTCCCCAATCAGAAGAGCATGTGGCAATAGAAAGCCCGCTGGGGTGGAAAGCAGACTCAGTGTACTCTGTGGTGTTTTGGGCCCTTCTGGCAGAGCCCTCACACTGCCATATGACAGGCGATGTCCGTTCCCATAGGCCAAGTAAAGCTTCAGTGATTCCATTCAGCCCCGACATTCTTTGACTGGAAGATGAACTGCGGTTTTGCCTTCTCTCAGATACCTTCAATCTCTTATGTGTCTGAAACTCTGAGCTAGGATGAGGTGCCTGCAAAGTTTGGGTCCTTTTGCTAAGAGCCCGTGTTTAGGTTTTTGGGTTTATGGGACATGATTATTAGTGATTAGACACTGAGGTCTCCCAAAACCATGGCTTCAGCTTGAGCTCTGTGTAAGCCAGCGCAGTTCACAGGGAGTAAAATTCTCCTCGTGACATCAGACTGCAGCCCTCAACCCAACAATCATTTTGTAGTTTTGTACAAGGAGCAATGACAGGAATGCGTAAACCCCACGTCGTGCCAACTCATGAAGAATTGGGCCAAAGCATGAGAGCATTAGGAGAGTAAGATGAGGATTGAATGTGCCTTAGAGAGCACAAGCTCAGGCCTGACTGAATAACTTATTTTCAAAGAGATTGTAGCATAGGTCGTAATATCGTCCTCGGCATCTTAGAACCATGGAAGGATAACTAGGTAGGAAATCCAGTAACCTGACTCTTGTATGTAGTCATTTCCCTTTGTGCTCTGGCTCTTAGTTTCCTTAAATATAAAATAAGGGTGCTAGACAAAATAATTTTTAAGGGTTTTTGTAGTTCTGACATTCTATTCATGAAATGTTGATTCTGCTTTTTTCCTTTAGGAAATCTCGGGGGGAAATTAGGTTTCAAAATGATGGAAAATGCTAGCTGAGTGGATTTGGATGCCCAAGAGGATATCTTTTTTCTCTCCACCATGACAATCCTTCTCTTGCCATTCCTCCCCCCTCCCATGTGATGGTGCCGGAGACCTGCCCCTGCTAAGCTTGTATCAGATAACTGAGGGCTCCTTAGATCTCTTCTCTTCCTAATAAATAAACTTTTCTGAAAGCCTGACTTAGCTTGGTCCTCAGATCTGTGTCTCAGTTCTCAGAAATGGAACAAAATGAACATTTGAGCCAAAGATCAAGGACAAGTATTGGGATTCATCAGCTCCTAATACTGTGAACAGTGAAATAATCTATAATATAAATGCTCCAACTTGTCTTCCAAGGAACACAACAGAAAGTTCTTCTATATTTCTATGGCATTTCTTAAAAAACAGTTCCTAGGAACTATGGAGCATTGTGCTCTTCCTGGCCATTCTTACCGCCCCCTTGCTGCAAGCCCCTCGTTAAACAAACTCACTTTTAGACTCAGCGTTGGGACAAGAGGCATTTACACACACCCAGTCCACGGACCCCACTTTTCTCCATAGAAGGAGGCCTACATCAGTGGTGTCCATGAATGTCCCATTGGGTTTTTTTAAATTCTCTTGACACATTTTAACCTCTGAAACCTATCGGGACACATTTTTCTTTGGGTTCTATTTCTTCTGTGTATATATACATTCCTAATATGGAGAGAAGACTAATACACACTAATATGCTCTCTTCCCCTCAACCAGCTTGCTCCCTGCTGGCTTAGGAAGAGCATCTCTTCTGCCTCTGAATATTCTTGTAAGACTGTGGTCAAGAGCGCTTATCTGTTCTGTTAGTTCTTTGACCTTGACTACTATGCCAATTATAAGGCAGACACAGGGCTCCAGCAAAAAAGGGAAAAATCACCTTTGGCCTATCATCTTTAGACTGTGAAAAGCAAATTGCTCTGGGGGAAATGGAATATTCTCTATCTTGATGGTATGTCTTTTTCTACTCTTCTAAGTGCCGGGGGGGCAGGAACAGCAAGAACTGCAGGGAGGATTGTTGTCTAACACTATTGCCTTGACTTCATGTTTACAAATCTCTTCTCTTGTAATGATTAAACTGCCATGAGTGTCATGCAGTAGATTTTTCATCTCAAACATTTTCATTTTCATCTCTACAATTTGATCTATCTTTCGTGTTTCTAACTTTTTTTGCCATCTGGAATATAGTTTAAATAACTATTTTTATGACTGCTAATTCAAATATTTGTGTCGACTCTGGGATGGTTGATTTTCTTCTCATGATGGATGACATCCAAAGATATGAATTTTTGTGAATGAATTTATGAATTCATAATTTTATTAATTTTATCTTGTTTTGTTCTGAATATTTTGATATTTGTAGAAATAGTCTTGAGCTTTGTTCTGAGACATGGATCAGTTACTTGGAAACAGTCTGACCCTCTAGGATATTACTGGGATATTACTTTTAAGAGTTGTTAGGTGGGACCAGTGCAGTATTCACTAAGTGGCTAACTGTTGCTCGTTACTGAGGCAAGCTCCTCCTGGGTACTCCACTCAATGTTCCATGAATTTTAAGTTTTTCTAGTATGGCTAACAGGAACAGGCACTATTACAGGCCCCATATGAGATCTGGGCTCTGTTATCGCTAATGCTCTCTGGTTCTTTCTTGGCTTTGGGTAGTTTCCTCACACACGAGCACCAGTCAGCGATATGCTGAGCTTTCTGTCCAGCTCTTTCATGCTGTGGTCCTGCGAACCATAGCCACATTGGTCTCTTTCCTCTCAGCTCTGTCTCCTCAATTCAGGGAATCCACTTGCTCCATCTGGGCTCCTCTTTCCTGTTCTGGAAATCCCTTACAATGCTGAAACCAAGATCAATCATGGAGCTCACCATATTTATTTCTCATCTCTCTGGAATCGGCGTCCTTCAGTGCCTGATGTCTAGTATCATTGTTTCATATATTTTGCCTGATTTTTTGTTGTCTTTTCAAGTAGGAAGTATATCTGTTTATTCTACTACCTATTATCTGAAGGTAGAAGTCAGCTTTATCTTTATCATTGTACTTAGATTTTCCTCTGATACCTTCTGAAGTCTAGAGTACATTAGTCAATGTATTTAGAGTCATTATTCTACTGTTTCAAAGAATTCCTGTGGCACTTGGGTGGCTCAATCCGTTAAGTGACTGACTCTTGATTTTGGTTCAGGTCATGCTCTTAGAGTCCTGAGATCAAGCCCCACATGGGGCTCCATGCTCCGTGGGGAGTCTGCTTGAGGATTCTCTTTCTCCTTCTCTGTCTGCCCTTCCCCCTGCCCAAGCATGTGCTCTCACTCTCTCTCTCTCTCTCTCTAAAATAAATAAATAAATCTTTTAAAAAACAACAATTCCAAAGGATAAGGCTTGTGTTCTGTAATAATACAAAATTTTTCAGTGGATAATAAAGCATTTACTTACATGTACTATTCACAACAGTAAAAGGGACTTTAATAATGACATTTTTCTGTCATTTGACAGTAGACGTTTCCAAAGAAGGAAAGGAGGGAAGCATATTTATCTAAATACAAGACCTCCCTCCTTCCAGCACAACCTCTAAATGCTGCCCATCGCTGCACGTATCCTCTCACTGCCAACAAGCAAGGAGCTTCCCCCCTGGCGTTCCTCGCTCTGGCCGCCTCTGCCTGAGCTCGCTCTCCCTCTCTGGCCGCTGTTTTGAATTTTGAACACCTCTGTCACATTCCCTTTATTTTCTATGCTCTACTTGTTGATCCATCCCAGGTTTCTGTCATTGCTATCTTCTCTTTCCCCACCTTTCTCTACTTGATGATCCCACTCACCTCCATAATCCCTCTATTATCTATATGCTTATAACTCACACGTTCACATGATCAGGCTGTATCGGTAAACTTAGTATCAGATACTATATATCTGAATTTCATGGGCTCAGAGAATCTTTAAAATCAATAGAGCTAATCTGAGTCCTATTTTTTCTTTCTAAATGTACTCCTTCATGTGTTTTGGTTTAATTAAAGTCAACGTCATATTCTCTTTTCTCGCTCAAACTTAATTTCAGTATGCAACTTTTATATACTTCTTATTTCATCCTAAGGATAAATTAAACCCATGAATATTTATTTAGTGCAAGTCTTCATCATGTTTTAGTGGGTTATTTTTATATTCTTCTTAACTGTTACCTCCATTCTATTCTCTTAACCATAATCCTGCCTCCCTCCTAGAAGCATTTAAACGCGATGTGTTAAAAAAAAATTATCTTTTGTGAGTTACAATACAAACATCTTAGTATGACTTGTAAGACATTTATTTCATTTGCCACAGGCACAGCCTAAAGCCTGATCTCACTCATAATGAGCTTGTAACATACCCCATTTGCCCAGAAGGTGGCAGTAAAGCACCGCTGTTTAAACCAGTAACTGTGCAGCCCTAGGGCCAGCTCCAACTGTTCCCCCAATTTTTTATTTTGTTTTATTATGTTATGTTAGTCACCATACAGTACATCATTAGTTTTTAATGTTCCCCTTAATTAGGTTCAGAAACAGGGATTCCTATGCAGACAGCGAAGGAGGGCTCTCTTGCTTCTACCTAAGGTTTTTGCCCACATTTGTTACCCAACTGGACATCCCCATTTGAACTTTTTTGGAGCGTCACTTCTCCTTAAAATCAAGCAAAACATTCCTCTCTCAATAACTTATTAACTGCCTGCAATTTACTTAGCTATACAAGATATGTATTGTGGTTCCAAGGACCTTTAATTCACATTAGCAACAGGTGTTTTGAATTCCTAAAGTAATTATTATGAAGGCAGAAACATATTTTGCAAGCAAGATTTTTTTCAATTAAGATTTACTTTTCTGTATTTCAAAGCAAAATAATTTTAAAATACAAATTTAAAATTTAAATTAAAGAAAATGAACCATGGTGTAAGGTGGTCTTATGGTTTGCATGGTATTTCAATGAACATCTTTGGCTGCCTACACATACCCATACTCCAAGTAATTCTTAATTTTTGTATATATATATGTGTGTGTATACACAATGGAACATTAGCCATAAGAAAATGAAATCTTGGGACGCCTGTGTGGCTCAGTCGGTTAAGTGTCTGCCTTCGGCTCAGGTCATAATCCCGGGATCCTGGGATCCAGCCCCGCATAGGGCTCCCTGCTCAGTGGGGGGCCTGCTTCTCCCTCTCCCACTCCCCCTGCTTGTGTTCCCTCTCTCGCTGTGTCTCTCTCTGTCAAATAAAATAAAATCTTTAAATAATAAAAAATAAAATAAGTAAAATCTTTTTAAAAATTTAAAAATAAAAAATAAAATAAAAGGCAAACATGGAGATATTTACCCTGTGGAAGAGAACATTGATATAGAGCATGAAATATAGGAAGGAAAGAAACAAAGAAAGGATGAGGGAGGGAGGAAGGAAGAGAGAGAGATCCTATGAAGGGACAGAGAAATACTCTGTGATCTGTGTGGCTTCAAGGTGGAAATTAGGATAATTGAATCATCAGGAAGACGGGTCTCAATTAAAATTAAGGAGGCTTTGGCTAGTTGTGTAATCTAACAGTGGAATGGGCCGCCCTGAAAAGGAGTCCAGTCCCTGTCTTAACAGTACTCAAGCAAAGGTTTGATGACTGCTCTTACAGAGGTTAC